GCTTTTTGACTCTGTACTGTTAATTACGCAATGATTGACGTGTCCTGAAATACATTTAGCGACCGGTAATCTAACGTTAGGTATTCAACTGTAACAAACATGATATTACAACGGTACCGTTAGTAAATTCAATAGTTTAGCACCCGTTGTAATTGGGTTTCTGATACTTTATATTTCCCCCCTTTATTTTCTATGTATAACGTTAAGTGTTTAGTTAATAATTTTTTGTAAACATTGACTATTTAATTAAAAGAATTGAACGTCTTTGAATTATTATTTTTATCGTTTACATAATTTTAATAATCCACGTTTACTGTTAATCGATTTAACAACAGTAATACTTTTTTGTTCCATTGCTTAAATGTGTGTGTGTGTGTATGTGTATGTATATATATATATATATAATTTAAGTAATGGAAAATTAAATGTACATAATAAAATGACAAATTATTTGAAATTTTATTTTATAATTTTATTTAACTTCATATTTTATTTTAGCATATTTCACTCATATTTAACGTTAATTTGCTGAAAAGACAGAATTTATTTTTGTAACTATATATATATATATATATATATATATATATATATACATAGCATACAATATGCATTATTATACATTTTAAAATGCAATATATAATTTTATTTTCTTTCTTTTTATTTGGGGGTAAAAATATTTCCTGGGAATTTCTTTGCAAGGTTCACCCTGTTTGTTTCAGTGAAAGACACATTCCAGCCATTATGGCTTTGATTACAATGTTACTAATGTCAATATTAGATGTACATGAATCTTGATAAAGTTGCTCTATCCAAACAGTGCCTGTGTTGATGGCGTGTCTTGTGCCAGTCTGACGGGTTACATGTGAGAGAGAGAGAGAGAGAGCAGTCGGGATGAGTGGCGTGGCGCTCGCGCTGGAGGTGGTGGTGGTGTTCTTCCTCGCGCTCTTCTTGCTACACCGCTATGGAGACTTTCACAAGCAGCATCGGATGGTCCTGTTCGCCACCCTCCTCGCCTGGTTCCTGTGCTTCCTCATCGTCTTCATCCTCCCACTGGACGTCAGCACGGTGAGACCGCCTGGAAGCAGTTACAGACCATACCACAGTAGTCAACATTTGAAGTGGATCAAAACCTTTCATCAAAGTTATACATGAATTACAACAATACTTCTTGTCTTAGGACAACTTTGATGAACTTTTTTTGATCCACTTCAAATGTTGACTACTGTAGTTTGAAGTGTTGTGGTAAGTTGCAAACTGAAAGGTTGCAGGTCTATAAACATAAAAAAGTGTTCTCAGTATGGATAAAGTGTGAGCTAAATGCAGTCATGGGATGTTCAGAAATAATAATAAAAAAAAGGTCATGTTCTTTTTTGTGCAATCTTTATGAAATTATATTTAAAATGATTACTGGACATTTAATGGAAAGTATAGAAAATTATGTAAACTCTCTTTACAACTCTTACAATTATTTCAATAATTAAGGCATTTAACATATGCTGTTATCTAGAGCCATTTACAAAACATCTTTTAGTGTATGCATGACTGACATGATCAACAGATGGCAAGCGTGCAATACAGGACATTTCCTGCGGGAAAAAGAAGCACTAACAAAACACAAAATAAAACCTAAATCTGTTGTTGTATTCTCAACCCTGGTGATGTTTCGTTTGCTTGTGCATCTGCAGACCATATATAACCAGTGTGAGATTGATAGTGTCCACTTGGTGCCGAGCAACATGCGACGTGATAACTCCTCCAACTCTTCGGTATTTCCGACACAAAGGTAAAGAGGTTTGCTTTGATCTAATGAATAGTTCTAGGAAGAAATAAAGCCTTGAAATTTGTTTAAACACTGTTGTACAAATAGTGCTAAGACTTTTATGTTTAGTTAACATGCTGAATATGGTTATTTATTAACTTTATCCACATCACCCCACCTTCTCCTGATTATAGGGTCGCAAAGTCTTGCCATAAGCCTTGGAGTTACATCCCAGATGGGATTCTTCCCGTGTTTTGGAGGGTGGTGTACTGGACGTCACAGTTCCTGACATGGTGCGAGAGAAATTGTGTCATTCCTGTGTTTCTTCACAATAAAGTGCAACAGTAGGGTTCTGGAAATAAACATCTTTTCAAGACAGATCTACTATGAGATCTGATATTGTTAAATGTTTTAAGCTGTAATACAATATTCTCACTCAATTAAAAAAAATAAGTTTTACCCTCTGGTACTGTTCGGTCATCTTTGACCAAAAGAAAATTAAGGTTTTTTTTTTTTTAGGATGGTATGGTATGAAACTTGGTGAAGATTTTGGCGCTTGCTATGTGAACACAAAAATAAATCCCGAAATGGTCCTGAAAAAAGTCACACTTGTTCATGGTCAAAAATGACCGCATTGGAAATGAATGGGAGGCGAATTTGATCTAGTGGAAGTGTTTGGTACTGCGCCCAAACAAAAACTTACTGAAAGCTATTTTTTTTGCGTTATCAACCTCAAATTTAAGACACACCTTGTTTGGATTTATGGCTTTGATTTTCTTACAGTTTTAGAGTCAAATTTTTCATAAGAATAAATGTAAAATTGTATAACTTTTTTTCAAGTTAATTTTTTAAAACAGTTTTCACTTCAGCAGCAATAATTTGCTAAGTGTCATCTTTAAAAAGAGACCAAATTGAAGTATGTGCACCAAAGCATTAAAGGTTTATGACAGTTTAAGTTGGAAATTAAAATTTCAGATCCATGCTCAAAAAGTGAATAAATGGATTATAACTACTACATAAATATAATTTAGTACCATAAAATCCCCTAAAAATACAAAATATTAAATAAAAACATAGTCATTTCATTGAAAAAAAAGGTAATTTTTGACGACACTTGAACAGTACCAGAAATGTACATTACATCAAATAAGCTCAGCAGTAAAATCCCACTCTCTTGAAGCATTGCAAATCATGCAGTCGAGTATACAACTTAATATTTACAATACTTGTATATATTTAAATATCCTGCAATAAACATATTGCAAAAAAAAAATAGCATTTTTATTAGACTTTTTGTAAGACGACAGTCATTTATTTGGTATTATACTACTACTATAGTTTTGTATTATTATTATTATTCATGGAATGAGTACTTCATGCCCACAAAAACACAAATGGGGAAAATACTTCTGGAACCAAGGCTGCTGAAAATTGGGGTGCGTGCGGCCCATATAACAACACTACTGACAGACCAGTAACAGTAGCATCATTAGTGACGTTAAATCATTTCTATTTTATGGCACTTTTTTGTAATGACAAATTCAAAGACAGATTTTGCTCTTACAAAAGTATAAAGGATTTGAAAAATGTTCTAACATCTTGTTCCCGTGTGCGCAGGCTCTTGATTCCCTTCATGCAGTCGTATGCACGTTCAGGAGGTTTCTCCATCTCAGGGAAAATAAAAACAGCCCTGATAGAAAACGCCATTTATTATGGCACATACCTGCTTATCTTCTGCTCCCTGCTCATCTACGTCGCCGTCACTCCGAAGTGGCACCTCTCCTGGTTAGTGTTACGCCCTCTTCTTTCCCCTTCAGCCAATCACAAAACTCCTTTCATTTCTAGACCAATGCACATCTCACTTCCCAAGCTGACATATTTAATTTATGAGCCATTCCACCGAAAGGGTGACATTTCTGTCCCCAGGACATTATATGTATAAAATTGCATGAAAATTAACTCTAAAATACATTTTATTATTAAGCAAAATGTCATGCATATTAAGCTAACTACAAATTTAAAATGTATAATTAAAAAAATTAATAAAAACTGCATAGAACACTAAAAAATAGCATTTTCTGCATGTCCCCACTCTCTATCTCTAAACTTTACCATGAAATATAATGATTAAAATACTTCAGAAATCTGATTTCTTTTGCATTGTTGTGTAACTTTATATCCAATCTGCTTTAAAATTAAAGAGAATTAAATTTTAAAATTAAATTTTTTAGATAAAATACATATTTTAGTCATGTCCCCGGGTTTACACTCAGTCCTGTTACCCTATTACATCCCGCCTCTGAAAAACGTAGAATATTACACAAGACACATTTTCAACAGTAAGTTGCATCATCTGGATCTTCTGAAGGCAATGGGGCGACCATAAGTAAGTCCTCTCATTTTAATTTCTGTATATTTGATGAAATTGTAACTATGACTGAGAAGGTCAATCTCAACATACGGTCCTGTTACCTAAACTTTTTCTTAGATTTACATTTTTTATTTTAAAAATATTAACTTTTGGTAAGGCACTAGAAATGGCTCAGTGTCCTCATGTTATTAGCATCTATGCTATGTGGCCATATGCATGTATTTGATAACTTTTTGCTTAAAAACTCAATCCTGTCACTTTCAGTCCTGTTACTATTTTTTTCTTTTTCTAAAAAAATAAAATTAAACCACTATTTTTATCAGTTTTGTTTGGCCCATAATTTATACAATTATTTAATAAATTAAAAAATATATATATATATAAACTTGAGGCTTCGGTCTTATTTAAAATGAAAAAATGGCTTTGTGTTTTTTTATTAAAATACACCTTGCCTTAATAGTGATTTTATTGTAACAAATATCAATTTTTTGAACATATAACCAACAATTTCTTTAAAATAAACACTTTCTTGTGGGGAAAACAAAGGAATTAATTGACATGCTTTTAAACTTGCTTTTTAAATGGGACATGATTTTCGGTAACAGGATTGAGAAAACATGCGCCCATCTTCTGCTTAAACCTTGTAAAAAATAAATAAAGTTGCCTGAGATTGACCAATACACATTTTGAATAGTTAAATATGTGTAGTATTAGATTCAATGTTGAAAAAGATAAAAAATAAAGTTTAATTTTGAAGAGTTACAACAAGCAAATGTCACCCATTCGGTGGAATGGCCCTTACACATATTTGTAAAGGTCTGACTTGCGGACGATTGGCATTACCGCCGCCAACACCTGGGGGCTGTTCCTGCTGGTGTTGCTGCTGGGATACGGCCTGGTGGAAATCCCGCGCTCCTATTGGAGGGCATCGTGCCACGGACAGCTGCTGGCAAAGACGTACTTTAAAGCAGCGAAACTGATGACGGAAAAAGCAGACGCCGAAGAAAACCTGGAAGATGTTATGGAGGTGAGGGATTGTCATTTCTTTGATCAAAGTCCATGCATTATCTTATAAAAAAAAAAAATGCATACTTAAATGTCCACAGGATGTCAGAACGGTTAATGAAACAATCAAATACAACCATCCTCTACGCAAATGCATTGACACCATTCTGAGAAAGGTAAGTTTCATATAATCTTCATCTTACTGATTGTACATGTGTAAATATATGGTGGTTCCCAAATGATAGACTATACACTACGCACTCAACCAAGTAGAGAATGAATTGTATAAGGTTATTTTATCATTCAACATCTGAGTCTGATGCCCCTCCCCCTCCGCTACATAATTAAAGTTGTGACAGTTGAGTGCATGAACTGTCCAACATTACACGCTTTTCTTTTTTTTCCTGGTTTATTAAGTGCTTCGTCCAGCTATTTAAAGCGCACTTTTTCTATTTGGCATTTTCAGTGAAATCTCTACTCACACTATTTATACTACAAAACATTATAGAATAGTGCACAAGTATCCAAATTGGGACGCACCTATGGAGTATTAATACCCTCACATCTTTCTCAGTGTCCTGTAGAATACCAGGAAAAGATGGGCAGAAACATGGACGATTATGAGGACTTTGATGACAAAGGAAACCCTTATCCTAGTAAAAATAGTTTAGTCAAACTACATAAAAAGGTAATAAAAACACTGCAGCTATATAGAATATTAATATAAAGCAAATTCACTGATGTTTATTATTTATAAATAATATAACTATTTTTTTTACAATTTTAAAAAATGTCACTTTTAATATTTAAAATTTAATTTTAATATGAAATGCATTAAAATTGTAAATTTAAGTTTTGTTCATTTCAAATGTAAAATAATATAATTATAAATATAAACATTAATTATTTGAAATATTTTGCATTATATAAATGTATTTATATTCAAATATCATGATTGAGACTTATGCATTGTATTAATATCTCCTGTCAGGTGATCTATGCTGTTCAGAGGCATAACCGCACACAAGTTCAGTGGCAGATTCTATTGGACGAGGCTTTTCACTTAGAGGACGTGGCCAAAAACGAGACAAGCTCCACTCACCAGTTCATTCACAGCTTCCCCTCTGCAGAACCGCCTGGATGGATCAGCAAGTACCTGTACACGCCCACCGTGGGTGAGGAAACCTGGGGACACATTCTCTCTCTTTTGTAGCCGAAAATACCTTTCTGCTCTTACTACAATAACACCTTTATGAGAGATACAGAGATCTGTGATCCTTCAACAGAGTAAAGGCTCATTCACAATGAGAACGCCTAAAAAAAGACTTTAAAACAATGCATTCCTGACAAACAATGCAGCAGATATGCTTTGGGTCGTTTCTGAGTTTCTCAGGAGGACTTCTGAGCTGTACTAGGTTTAGGAGATACTTTTAACGTTACAATGCTTTGTGAATTACTCTTAGATGAAAAATGTACCAGTCCTAAAATTAGCGACACACCCTTAAATTTCCACATTAGGAATAACTTTTAGCCTTAAGAGGTTTTGTGAAGATGCCCCTGGTCTAAAATATACATCTTATTACCTTATCACCGTTTAATTGATTCCTACAACTAAGTTTGCTCATCTGTTTCTTCAACGCAAGCTTTACCTGGGTGGTTTCTGCACCTCGATATTTTAGGATTTTTCTAAAATAAACAAGACTGTTTTACAAAAATTGCAATCTTGCTAAACTTGTTTTTGTGGAACAGTCTAGTTTTATGAAATATAGAGCATCAGAAACCACCCAGGTTGATGAAACAGATGAGAGGATTTTTCTATAAAACCAGACTTCCACAAAAACAAGTTTAGCAAGATTGCAATGTTTGTGGAACAGGTTTTTTTTGCCAAATGCCAATAGAAAATATCAATTGTTTTCTTATCAAATGTCAAACCACTTTGAAAAGACTCTGTATAGTATGTATGTTTGGAATGGTTGGTTCATTTCAGCACACATGACTATTGTCCATCTACCCGTGACCAGCACAAAGAGAAACTCTGAGTGTTGAAATGCGATTGCTAAGTTGTTATCAGTGGCTCTGACCCCTGATTTTTGCCTGTTTTGTAATCCAAGTCTGATCGCTTACAGAACAGAAAACCTTTCATCAACAAGCCGCACAATTTGAGATGTCATTCATGTCCGAGCGCACACATTGCACAGTACAGTTTTATATTTAGTGTTAAGGATTTGTTCAAATCGCTAACCTTAAGTAATGAATGCTATTATAAGCTATGATATTGAGTCAAAGGAGCAGTTTGTTTGGGTAATAACCTCATGCATCTCTCTCTGTCCTGCAGAGTGGTACTGGGAGTGTGTTTTCCGGCGCTGGTGTTACCGCGTGCTGGCTGTGCTTTTATGCCTGTTCTCTGCAGCCGTGGTCTGGTCTGAATGCACCTTCTTCAGCACACAGCCCGTTCTGTCTCTCTTCGCTGTCTTCATCCAGCTCGCAGAGAGAGACTACAACTATGTTTACATAGAGGTGAGGAACACAAGCACAAGCACAATCACACATATAATGGAGAAGGCTGCATACAGCCAATCAGAAAGCTGCGTACTTCCGCCAGCATGGCTGAGAAATGCGCGAAAATAAACTTTTTGCCACATGCATGAAAACATATTTTGCATTATTTTTATTACAAATATTTTTGAGCCTATGACTGCGATTATTTAGTTGTTCACTGTAAACAACCGTTTCTTGGGGCTTATTGCTTTATTTTCTTTTATGTACAATTCCAAGTGGGGAATAAAACATATTTGGTTTACACTGTAAGTGAATTGAACAAACCAGAATCAAATCATTGATCACATTTATTTGTATGACAATTAATCGTCAGCACAAAATTCATGATCGTGACAGGTCTACTTGGTGCTTTGCACGTAATCATTTTTGTACTTAAAGTCAAAATAAAACGGTGTTTGCAAACCATTTTACTTGCATAATGTCACATTAATATGTAAACCAACATGACTTGGGAATTATTGGTGAAAAGTGGATGGTGAGGTTGAAAAAACTGCAACCTGTACATTGTTATTTTGTGTTTGTCCTCTAGATGGCGTGTTTTGTCACCATATTCTTCTTGTGTTACTGCGTGTACTCCACTGTGTTCCGGATCCGAGTCTTTAATTATTATTACCTGGCCCCTCACCACCAGACGGACGCCTACAGCCTGCAGTTCAGCGGCATGTACGAAACACCATGTGACTGTTACAAAAACCATCTCTGGTTGTTTTGATCTGTTGCTGTATCAGTGTGTTCAGCATTTCGATCTGATTGATGTGCAGGTTGTTTTGTCGTTTGACGCCTCCGCTGTGTCTGAACTTTCTGGGTGTGATTCACATGGACTCCACCATCTCCCATCAGCAGAGACAGCAGACAGCGTACAATTCAGTGAGTCACACACCACTCTCATGCAAAAATACCATCACAGATCTATATAACTAGCATGTAAGACTTTAATTAGCTGGATTATATAACTATAATAATATTGATATTTTCATCCTTGTATTCAAAGTATATCTTCATGACATAGATTTATTTAAATTTATGCATAACAATACTTGGTAATAAACAACATCTACTTTATTTTACTAAATTTAAATTAAACTTTAATTTACTAAAAATGCAATGACCACTTATATGAACACTTTTTATTGAAGATGTGGACAAAAGGCTTTCTAAAACCACTATTTTTACTACTGACTTAAGTCATTAAGATTAAAATATCTATTAAATAGAAAATAAAAAAATCTATTAAAATATCTTTGTCTTGCGAGTCTAATGTCTATATATGAAAACTAATTGGCATACATTACATAAAGCATATTAAAATCACAGCATTCATGTGCAATTAACTTGATCAATAATGAATATTATTTTTCTCATGCATTTATATGCTGTCACTGCAAACAATTTATTGAAAAGACAAAAGATGAAGTCGCCATATTCCATTTTTTTAGCAGATAATCATATTTATGGTTAGACACCATGTATGACCATGAATATGATTATTTGCTAAAAATGCAATATGGAAAAATGCAATTCTGTATCTTGTTGCAAACAAAATACAGAATTTGTTTTTAATTGGAATTCTCAAATTACAATTTTTGCTACGGTGTTTTAAACCAGAGACACCATTAAAATATCGTTGTCTAATATGCCTATAGGAAAACTAATTTGCCATATAAAAAGCATATTAAACTCACAGCATTAATGATGTTGCTTAATTTTATGTCATATTTTATATCATGTACAATCATCCAGCCCTATTGATACTTATGGCTACCTCACTCCAAAATCATTCTCTCTCTTTATGATAGATAATGGGATCCATGCAGGTCCTGTCATTCATCGCTAATGGATTTTATATTTATTATCCTATGCTCATCGTTTTGCTCTGCATTGCAACTTACTTCAGGTAAGATGTAACTCCAACAAATATTTATCTTTGAAATATTACAGAAACTGTTGTTGTTGGAAGACTGTTAGCTCTTTGTTTTTCCTCTTGTTCATTCTAGCCTGGGCACACGCTGTCTGAATTTGCTGGGCTTCCAGCAGTTTATGGGTGAGAATGATCTGACCTCTGACCTGGTGGACGAGGGGAGAGAACTCATCCGGAGAGGTACTATAGACCAAATTCAAAATTGGTCCAAATCTATGTTAGTCCAAACCTAATTGTTAGAATAGGTTTAGCAGATATACACAAATTACATTTATTTTTTATTTTTTGATGTAATCGCATCAGTCCCAAGAAGGACTGGATGATATTGCTAGATTTTATATATCAATATTTTATTCAAAGTATATTTTCAGTCAGAAAAATATTTTTTTTCCCCAATCAATCAAAAATCTAATCTGACTTTTTTTTTCAATCTAAATATAATTTACATTTTATAGTTTTACATGGTACCTTTTGCAATTAGAATATATATATATGTATAAAATAAAATATATCATATCATTATATATCAAATTAAATAAATTAAATAAATGCTGTTCTTTTGTTCTTTCCATTTATCACAGAATCGTGAATCAGAAAGTAATCATGGTTTCCACAAAAATATTAAGCAGCACAACAGTTTTCAAAATTAATCATAATAAAATTAGAATGATTTCTAAAGGATCATGTGACACTGAAGACTGGAGCAATGATGCTAAAAAATTCAGCTTTGATCTCAGGAAAAAATAGCAAGGAATAAACATATTAAAATAGTTAATTCATAGTTAATAAACAGTTATTTTAAAAAGTAATATTTCAAAATGTTCTGTTTTTACTGTATTATTGATCGAATATGCAATCTCTGTGAACATAAAACTTCTTTCAAAAACATAAAAAAATCTTGCCAATCCTAAACTTTAACAATAGTGTATATAAATACAAAATAACGACAATATATTTATATTTATAAATTATATCAAATATAAAAAATTATGTCATGTTATAATTTCATTGTTTTTAAAACCCTTGCTCTTGTTTTCAGAAAAAAGAAAACGGCAGAGGACAGAGGATGGCGAGATCAGACGGAGAGTGAGTGTGTTTCTGGCTAAACTGCCTCGCATTTAATGATGAGGATAGATTACAGTACTGTGCCTGTCTGAACCCCGTTTCTCCGTTCATCACGTCTCTGTCTGTCAGGAATGGAGGGAACGCTACAGTGATCAGAGGGAGAGATATGGCGGGAGGAGCAGAAGTGCGTACTCAGAGCTGAAGGAGACGGACGGCTCCAGCACAGACACTGGCCGAGGTGAGGACGATTCACGCTGTCAGTCTAAGGCCATAGCACACTGAGCCCGAAATTCGCATCCGAAATTTTCGCACGTTAAAAAATAAATGCACACTGCCTCCGAAACTTTCGTCCCTCATAAAAAAAAATCGGATAGGGTTCGATTTTCTGCGTTTTTCGCATTCGTAGCAAGCATTTTGAATGGTGTTTTGACAATTCAGAGCCATCCCGAATACGAAAAAACGCACACGAAAATTTCGGACTCAGTGTGCAAGGACCTTTACTGAAAATACTCTTGCTTTGAGTTTTTGGTCAGATGTGATGAAGAGCATTGGGTGTGTGTGTGTGTGTGTGTGTAGGTGTAGCTCAGTCTCGAAGAGATCGAAACGACAAGGCTGAATTACTACAAGACGTTGAACCGTTGGACTTCACTGGAGAAGAACAGCTGGAAACGGATAACAGGAGGTCTGTATTACTACATTATATCTCATAACATAAACATATTTCAGTCATGGAAAGTTACTAATAGCATTAGCTTGAGAATATTATTTTTCTTATGCATTTTTATGCTGTCGCTCAGACCACCTTTTTTTAAAGACTAATGGTGCGTTCACGTGCTATGGAAAATATGATATTTTCCACTTGTGAACTGGTATTTACCAGTGTGTTGCGTTCAATTGCTTTTGTTGTCGTAATGTGGTACAAAGATGGAGATCCAGACCTGTTATTTAGCTAAAACTATTTTAGATTGCTTAAGTCATCTGCTACAGCAAGAAGATGATTTATCAAACCTCAAACGGTAAAGAATATGCTGTATAGATCATGAATAGTACATATTTTTACCATTCACGACCATAGACAGTAAAAGAAATGGATACAGCGACCCCATTGATTTCAACGGAGAGAGTTGAAGCCCAACATGGGCACTCACTTCCTGATAGCCAAGCGCACTGCGCAGGCTCAAACTGAGCTTGACGACGTAGTTGTCACGTGAGCAACCGTTCTGACCTTCTAGTAGCTGTGCCGGGACAAATCTGAATTGAAATCTGCAACAAATCTGTTGTTGAAATATTTTGTCCCGTTGCTTTTATGAACTCTCTATCTATGGGTTTCTCCCTTGACTTTATGCCTCCATGTCCACCCGATTGCCTCATAGACAGTAAACGATTGCCTACGAGCTTCTACTTCTGTCTATACGGTAATTTCTCTACTGTGCGACAGAGCGTCCCGTGGTTATGACGCAATCGTTAGCCTATTTTTACAAGAATGGCTTCTACGGGGCCATAACGTAAGATACAAAGTAATGGAGCCTTTTGTCCATTGTCCCGTTTCTTGAGAAATAAATAATGGACAAATGGAGTCTTTGGACGCCTCAGATGTAAAGTTATTCGCTGTCAAAGTGACGCCAAAATGAATGGGAGTCAATGGGATGCTAACAGCAGGTGATAGCCAGCTACAATGGCGGCCCCCGGAGGCAGCTTCAACTTCCGGCTGATGGATTACCCCCTTGTTCACGACTTTCGCGTTACTCTCCGCCATTTTGAGAAGGTCAAAGGTTATCTCATCTCGGCAACTCGTGCATCAAAATATTCTACGAGTTGCCCAGTGGAAAATACCACATGAGGGGGTGTTCATGTACATTTTCCACGTCGGCTTTTGGTATTTACCATAATTACCATAGCACGTGAACGCACCATAAATGTTTTATTTAGTTATATGTTTATGTTATATATTTAAGGATTATTGAATTTTTATTTTGTTCTTTATTCATACAACACTTCTTACCCATGTAAAAGAGAAAGTAAATATATATAGTAAATACAATAATAAAATTAATTGTGTGATGACATTGTGTAAACGTTCAGGGATTTTGATTTGATTTATATCACTCACTGACGCTTTTACAAAAAGCGATTTGAAAATGATGAACAAGCTATTTATCCTAAGAGCCAATGGTATTTGCCGCACACAATGACACATTTCAAGTATAAGATATAAGGAGAAACTATTGGGACATTATGTATTTTGAAGGTTTTCACTGAAGAACATGTAGTTCTCTCGTTGTTAATGAATGTCATCTCTCTGTAGGTACGCTGGAGGACAATACCTCGCGACCTCTGCATCTCGTAGCCGCATCTTTGATGATGTATGAGAACAAGGAGAACAATAAAGGGAAACTGTTTGCACTTTTTAATCTTCACACTCTTCCTGAAGTGTCCAGTGAGAGACTGCAGCTTTAACGCTTCTGTGTCTCTTTGTACTGAATGTGTTTTCTGTGTGTTTGTGTGTGTGTTGCTCTTACCTCTCATTGTCCCTTTACTTCCAGATGAAGCCAAAATAGCAAACCCCACATACTGTACACAACTATAGTGTAGCTACAGTATCTTCACAGCAGTGACGGTTGGTTTTCATGCAGAGGAACATTAATATTTGGCTGAAAAAGGGAAGAAAAAGTGTCACGTTAGTTCTCTATAGAATCCTAATTTGAAGTTTAAAGTTTCTGTTTAGAGAATAGAGTTTATTTAAGGTCACCCAGATGCATGAAGGTCTCACTGTGTCCTGATCTACACTTCACTCTGAACTTTCGCCCTCAGGATGAGAACTTGTTCGACCAGTAAATCACCTACAGGAAACACTTCTGTCTTTTGTTTGAGTATTTTGTTTAACCGTTCATTATTTAACAGATCACACTTTAAAGTTACAGAAGAAAATATGAAGAAAATGTCTCATTTTGGTTATTGAGCTCGTGTTTTGTACTGTAAACTTCAAATCCCTTTGATCAAAAAGTGAATGCATATAACATGAATGCTGTTTTACTTTTTCAATTATGTTCTATTTATTATAAATGTCTCTGAATTAATATTAAATTACTGCTCAGAGCTACTGAAATTTTGAAGACAATTTGTGCTTTTTTTTGGGATGACACAAATCTGTATAGCAGCTGTTTTATTTTCTTTCTTTTATTTGTTCTTGTTTGTTTGAATTTCCTCAATACCTCAAATAAATATTCCTGAGATTTTAATTACTTTCTTGTACAATCGTGTACTGAATGAGAAAAAAAACCTTCTTGATATTTTAATGCTGCTCAATGGCAGATTTGAGTGTTTTTAAAGAACACTAAAAATGTCAATCTATGGTCTCATCGTGCAGCTCGCACCCACCATATTTCAGAGTTAGAGCTGAAAAGGATAGTGTTGTTTTATGCCATTTCTGTTTTTGTGCTGTCTCTGACATTCAAAATCTCAAGTGCTTTAAGTAGGCATCCACACAACACTGTAACAAAGTCCCTTTACCACCACATGACTCTAAAATAAACAGATATGAAGCAATATATGGGGTATTTATCTAATTTATTATTTAGTCATCTGGATGTGTTTCTCTACATGATGTTCTATTATGAGCTGAACAAAACATAATTCATAAAATTAAAGTGGACTGTATTTATTTATTGCCGTGCCAGTGATTAACAGACAAAGTCTGAGTGAATTAGCAAAATATAGCATTGTACAAAAATTACAGAAAAAAGATATTCCTCTTAGAAAAATGAAGGTAAATCACTAATTAAAAGCAACTAGGTGTAATCGGGGTATAGATAAAGGTAGGGTATGAACAAAATATTAAAAACGTATTCAAATTAAAACCTTTATAAATCGAAACAGATTATTTCTATGCAGGGGCGCCGCTAAGGGGGGAAAAGTTAGGACGATTCTAAGGGCCCACACACTTTTAGGGGCCCCAGAAATCGATTTTATTAATTGAACGGGTGCAGCAGTACCTATTTTTTCATGGGGCCCAAAATCCCTGGCCGCACCCCTGTTTCTATGTAAATCTGGTATGGAGATAAATTAAGCCATGATTTGACCAAAGACTAGTTTGATTTTACCATTTACTCACTCCAATATAGTAGGTGGCGGTATGCAGCTTTTACAATGCTCTGTAACCCGTCAAAACACTAGAAGAATTATAAATCTTTTGCGCGCGCTGGATCATGATCAGATTACACACTTCACACACAAAGGAAAACAGACGACACGCACTTTCTCCTGCTTCATATTTTAACTCACATAAGGTAACTTTTTAAAACAAATATCATATTCAACAAAAATATGATTACCCTAGAGGTTTACTACAACTTTTAAAAATATGTTTTAGCATGATATATTTTGGTTATCTACTTTTATTTTTTCACTGGTAATAAAAAAACGAATAGGCCTAACTTATTGTAAAGGATAAAATGCGCTTGTTGTGACTTATCTGTGAAAGAATTTACAATAATAATAAAAATTTACAATGCCAACATCACTCTTGATCAACACCAGCAAAGAAAATGAATAACAGCATTTTGAATTATTTTCCGGTGACAAAATGCTAAATATTATATGATATGCTATATCTGATTTATAAATATTGATTTTTGCATTTCTAAGCTTGGCTATTGCCATTGTTTATGTTGAACATATTGAAATGTTTAGCCTTAATCTAAATGGTTATGGTAAAGATTGTGGAATGTCTGTTTCAGAAAAAGCCGACTGACAGCAACAGTGAAGCCAGAAGGGCGTCACAAACTGGTGAAAAGGTGCAGGTAGGTATTTCAACAATAATTTGGTAATTGCTCATGTCTCAGCCAATAAAGACATCAAAGTCAAGTAAATAAGCAAATGCAAAAGAACCAAAGATTTTTTCTTTATTTAAAAAAAAGTATTTTTAATGACCCATGTCTTTAATCATTAGTTCAAAGACACTGAGTTGTCAAGCTCATAAAAATAGCACTATAAAAGTAGTCTTTTTATAGCTTGTGAACTATATTCCCAGACTTCTGGATCCTATCTATGGGATGAATTAATATAGTATCAAAATGATTAATACGTGCAAGCACAAATATCAATGAACTTGATTAATGTTGCAGAAATGTTTTACTATCCACAACCAAATGCCTTTCAACTTGCGTGTGCAAAATTCAAAATTGAATGAATGTGTTGCAATTTGTACAAATAGAGACATTTCTGTGAATACAAATGTTTTCTTTTGTATTAGTGTATCATAATTTGGGCATGCAACAAAGAAGATGTGCATGTGTGGATCAGGTGACGCGCGTGCATTCGTTGACCTCTTTCCTGAGTCAGGGGGCTTTCGCACTGGCAGTTTAGTTCGGAACGGGGCAAGGGTTTGCATGAAAAATCGCTAATGTGAACGCTGTCATGGGACCCGGGTGCGCACTGGGGTACCGAACCCGAGACTACCTGGAGGAGGTGGTCTGAGTTCGGTTGCTCCCGAACCGTGCCGCGGTTCGCGTGAATGTGAAAGCAACACGGACTCGGGTGCGCACTTGTTCAGGAAGTAAAGTGACCTGCGCATGCGTTTTTAGCTTATTGTGATGTATTTAGTTAAATAAAACGCTTGTAAGGGATTATAGTGTTGATGTTTTACCTTGGAAACGAGCGAGAGTGAGCCTGCGTGCAGTGTATTCGTGCATTGCGCGTGGAATCAGGGCAACAAAGTTGGAAATCCACTGTCTCCTAAAAAGAGTCCGTTTGCAAGCAGCAGAAGTCCACCTTATGTGACACACGCACAGTAAACCTGTAGTGTTCACTCAACTGCGCATAATAGCAGCGAATTAATAAAAAAAACACAATATTGACCCACGTTCTGTTTTCTATCATGCGCCGTGCACGTTTGCGATGACGTCATATGCACGCAAACGCACCAGGGTTCGATAGAATCAAGTTGTGTGTGAAACCAGACCAACGCTGCGGGGGACGCCGGGAACAAACGCGCTCGGGCTCGGACCGCAGCAAACGAGCCCAGTGTAAAAGCCCCCTCAATCTCATTTGATTCATTTGGATTTTGAGACTTTCTTTTCGCGGTTTTTAAGCATTTCACAACCCACACACAAACAAATAGGCCTGGTGCTAGTTATTAATGTGTGCACAACTACACATCTATTTGACAAATTCACAAATGTGCGTCACTACATTTAAACTAATACAATACAACTTGTGTGTGCAAAATCCTGATTCACATGAATGTGCAGCATTTTGTACAAATAGACACATAGCCTAGTTGTTAATACAAAACCTCGATTTTGTATTAATGTAGCTCAGTATTTGCGCATGCAACAAGTAAAGCCCCGTTCACACCGCCAGCGACTTTGTCACTGGATGTCGCTATGCTCTGTACTGTGAAGTTGCTTGTGGGCGTTCGTAGTGCTGTCGCTCTAATGTTATTGGTAGACTGCACATCTGTCCATATCTATACAAAATACCATCACAAGTGATATATACAACTATATAATTTTAATTTGACTTGGAATAAATTACTTTTAAGGCTAAAAAGAAACCGTATGCTGTTGAGAGAGTGTTTTTATCTTACCAGTGTTCGGTGGATTAAATCATTTACTAGATTAACGATCGATCAATCAACAAATTAAACTCACTCATACTGTCATAAATTATTAAAACGTCATTCGAATTTGACAAATAATCAAGGAAAATTGTAAAATGAACTGCAGCAGTACTAAATGTGCATCATAAAATTACAACACTCAAACTATAACATTAAATGTATGAATTAAACTCACTGAGACTGTCGACAGTTTCTTTTCCATGCATCATTTTATTATCCATGTATGTGGTTACAGTCAAATCATATAAAACAGTGAAATCGTCCTCGAACTCTTCTGTCTTGCCTGCACTCGAGACAGTGACGCGTGAGCTCCACTGAAAGTCTTCTTTCCTATTGGTTGTTGCTCGCGAAAATCGCTTCTCATTTGCATAAAGTTGAAATTTCTCAACTTTTGTCGCTTGTCTCTTGACACGCCCACATTCTGTCGCCAACGGTCACTGTTGCTCACGTCGCCGGAAGTCGCCAGCGCTCCATTGAAATGAATGGGGCTTTTTCATGTCGCTGCGTGTCGCTGGCGGTGTGAACGGGGCAGATATGCAAGTGTGGATCAGGTGACACGCGTGCATTCATTGACTCGTTTCTGAGTCGATCCTATTTGATTCATTTGGATTTTGAGACTTTCATTTCGCCGGTTTCCACACACACTGTCTGAGAAAACCTGCTACCACTAGATGGCAGTATTCTGCTAAAACAGACGAGGGCAGCGTAATCGAGCGATCTTCCCCATTTACGTTTAATGTGAGTGATATTGAAGCACCAAATTTACTACACAATGTAGGCCTACCTTATTAATAAAGTATACTTTGTATAGGCAAACAGATTAAATCAGATTATGAACAACACCCATAGAAAACCAATATAAAATGCTTAACGTGCAATCGCGCGTTGCATGTTCAATAAGGTGTAGCTATACTGAGTTTTAATATCATCGTCTTACTTCATTGACGTTAAGCTTTTTCTTTTTAATAATAGGCTCTATGGGAGGAAAAATATGTAGCCTACAGACAATAGTATATATAACGCGACGCGCAAAGTTTTACGTTAATGGCATTTTCCTTCCTGAGCCTGTTTAAAAAAAAATTAAATTTCGCAGTTGGGTTCATATTATAGGCTTATTTTTGAAAATCACCAGTGTGTGTAGCTGCATGGTATGCATGAGCTTTTGACGCGCTAATCACGTCGCATGATGCATAAGAAACCTTCACTAACTGCTTTAAAACGTAGTACATTTGTTTTATTAAAATTACTTTTAATATTTAAAAACAGACATTTTCCAAATTCCAAAGCTCGTAGAAGTTTCCTGACTGACTTACTACAAGTAAAATGTTGACAATACTTGTATGTAGCTTAGGCTATTTGCAGAAAAAATACTGTAATTCACAAAAAGGGTTTTGTTCAAAATGGTTGTAATAGTAGGCTATATAGTGACTAGACTGAATTACTACAGGTGAAATTGTCCCAATACCTCCCTTCATGTATTTTCAGTAAACAATTATTTTTTTAGTGTAGCCTACTTCACCAAAAGGGTTTTTGGTGACCTATTACAGGTGAATAATGGAATATTTCACCTGAACGTATACAACCTTTGGAACATGAAAAGTTAATAAAGCTCAACATTCAAAAGGTAAATAAGGATTTCCCACTTGTATTAGTAGGCTTAGGCGATTTCGCCACGTGGATGCCCAATTGAAGCTCTCACAAGCACAAAATGCAGGCATAGAATATGTTAATAAAGTCTTTATTAACGCATTTTAGACGAACAAAAACAGGTAGGCTAAGCCAAAGACTGAGGCTACAATATCCATAAATAAATGTTCACAAATACCCATGAAAGTAAAACTGAAAGCTGAAAAACACAGTAAACCTGACTTGGGCTTAAAAAGACTTTGCCACTTGTTGGTAAAAAAAAAGAAAAAAAAGTAGCGCAATACAAGATAAACGCAAAACACATCAGATACAGTAAGCCTTAGGCTTAAAAGGGCTATAAGGTGCCGTTGGTGGCCTAAAACAGAATATTAGCCTACTTATTTTTATCTTTCCTCGCGCTGTGTAGAAATAATATTGAATCAACCGTCCCTGGGTTGAGACGGTTTCTTCTCGCCTCTATGACACGACCTGCGGAGCTGAATGTGCGCTCACTGGCTGCACTTGATGCTGGAACGCAGAGAATCCTCCTTGCCAATGCACGAAGCCTCGGGAAGGTGGGTGCCTGTCTCTCCCAAAATTCAAGCAACCGGTCCTCGTCACAGTCATTTAGCGTAAAGTGTGCAGCACGGTACCGCTCCAATTCGTTCGTTAGGCTCACATCAGCGGCATCATCGGCCCATTCAGCGAAGTCCACTCTAGGTCTTTTTTCTCTCTGACTTTCGTTAGTGACGTCTATGGAAGGTAAAATAGCATTTGTCAATAATGTAATTTACCAGAATTAAATTGAAATACCCCATTCATCATTAATAACACAGCCACTTACCCTCGCCTGTAGATATCCGTGGTGCTGTAGTGCTTGAAGTCTCAGGAGAGTTCGCGGCTTCAAAAGACACAGGGCATATGAGGTTGCTAACGATTTTGTGGAGATTTTTCCTTTCAGTCTCGGTCATCATTTTCAGACTTTTGTAGCGGAGGAAGAGAGCGATTTTGTGCGTGTCTGTGAGGATTAACTTTTGATGGAGTAGAGCAAGTGCGCGCGTACGGAGCAAAGCCATGTACTCAGGGTCTCCAAAGAATGGTTGGCAGTGTGCGCCCAAATTTCCCACAGCATCACTAAATGCAGTGTCGGGTAGTCCTCTCCCTGCAACTCCTCAGATGCTTTCTTGAAAGGCTCCAAGAAATCTATCACGGTTGTGAGCGTGTTTTGATATATGCCTTCCATGCGCTCTGACTGCCCCCTGCTTTCGAGTAGCTTGTTAATTTCCCTGTATTGCTTGCTCACAGATTTAAGCATGTCACTTTTGCTATTCCAACAAGTCTCACACTCTTGGACTAAGCCATGTGGGAGAGCTGTGCTTGCACTGGCTTTTTTAAGATATTTGACAATGCCCTTGCACGCGTCAATCATCTCCGTTACCTCCTCAATGTCAGATCCACTGAACGTATGTTTCAGAATTGTGTTCAGAACATGGGCTGCACTTGGTATCCAGTGATAATTTTTTAGGGCAGCTTTAATGTTAGAGCCCTGGTCACTCACGAGCACCACTTGATCAAATGAGATCCAGTAAGAACACAGCTGCTCATTAATCTGTTCGTGGATGTTGATTGCTGTTTTGGGCAATGTGCAATCGAATTCCACTGGCTTCCCAGCTTCCAATCCGCTGTGATATAATGGCACGTCAAGACAGTGAGGGACCTTCTGTTAAACTCATCAGTCCACATATCAGTCGTTATTGCAACCCCTCCATTGTCATGCACCGCTGACTTCAGAACCTCGGATAAGGCTTCTTTCTCGACCATGGCCTGTTTTTTAGCTCGATCACAGACCGTCTGCCTATGAGGAAGCACTCCATTTGCATCGACTGAGCCATAACGTGCTCCAATGTTGATGAGACCCTGAGCCACTTTCGTAAAACCTTCCCCTGAAACAATATCAAAGGGGCGCAGGTCTGTGCAACTAAAGTCCACACAACAATCCACAAATTTACTCTTCACTTGAAGAGGAATTTTCGTGTGGTCAGGGCGCATAAAGGCATCTATAGTTTGTGGCCTGGGTTGGCCTGACGCTGCTCTATTCGGCTGTGATGGCTTCCTGGCAGAGATGGGGACTCGAGTTTGAGACTCGGACTCGAGTGCGACTTAAGTCACACACACAGTGACTTCAGACTCGACTTGAGACTCGTCCTCGAAAGACTTCAGACTCGACTCGGACTCGAGCTGCGGGACTCGTGAACAATGTTTATTTTTAGGAAACGTCTGATGAGCTCGCTGTTATCCCCCTCCATCCGTTACCTATAACCTGCCTACGTAACCACGTACTACGTGGCCTATTGCTGGCAGCGCGCGCGCGACCACACATGAGAGGATAACAAACAAAAAGTTCGACTGCCTCAGCCGCTGCTGTGCCATTCATCGTTAGCTTTAGGTTCAAAAACTTCAAACAAGACGCGCTCAAAAGAAGCGCTCAGTGCAAAATATGCAGTATCACGATAAAAGATTACAACTACATCTACTTTTATCAGGCGTCTGAAAACGCACCCTGATAGGTGAGTAAACATGTTTAGCTCAGCATTGACCATCTACCGTTACCTTGCTTATTGCTTTAGCTACCTAATGTTACGGGAGGTTAACTCCGATTGTCTTCCTTATGAAATATGAATGAGCGTTTGTTTAATTGCCAAACTTGTGGTGGTCGATTAACGTAACGTTAATCATTTACGTGCCGCTGGCTGCCTGTTGTCTACAAACAGGTTACAGGATTATTGTTGTTTATGTAACGTTACAGTTTCATTTAGTTATAACGTTACACTGGTTTGAGAGTCTGGGATGTGTTGACTTACAGTATATAAGCTATGATTAGTTGCATAGGCAGTGCAGCCAGAAGAAGCCAGAAATGTTTTGTGGCCCATACCTAGTGTGTTAAGAGAAGAGAAGGTTAACCAGTCTGATCTCACCCTTTGGATTTTTTTATTTCTAAACATTTTGTTCTTAACAAGTTACATGCCATAAGTTGGTCAGTTGCTTCACATTTACACTAAAGATTTTAAGCATTTGAATGTTTTGGAAGTGCACTGTAGTGTTAAAAATTTCATTTGGATGCAATAGTTTATTTGCATTTAGCTACACTGATGTTTTGCACTAAATAGGAGTGTGTCAATTTTAGTGTTGTGAGTTATATCATTTTCTATATTTGGTCTTATGTCTTGGTATGTTCAAGCTACAAGGCAAAATAAAGAAATTAACTAAAAGTAAAGCATTCTTGGTGTTCTTGTCATGTTGCAATAGCCTGTTTACACTGATTATATACCAAAATCAAAGCTGATACTGTATGCTAATAGATAAAGGAGTCATAATAACATATGGTACCACTTTATTTTGATAGTCCACTTTATACATTCTACTAACTATAAGTAACTTTGCAGCTGCATGTCAACTAACTCTCATTAGAGTATTAGTAGGCTTAATATCTGCTAATTATGTATTATAATATCTTATTTTGTTGGTTCCCCAACAGATATTCTACTGACTATAAGTAACTTGGCAACTACAAGTCAACTTGTTCTCCAAACCCGAACCCACATCATAACCTGACAGTCTACTACAGTCTACTAATACTCTAATGAGAGTTAGTTGACATGTAGTTGAAAATGTACATGGTTAGTAGAATGTCTAAAGTGGACTATCGAAATAAAGTGTAACCTAACATATTACATGCTTTGAATTCCTTATATAAAGCTATGCAGTGTTCTAAGCAACCTGGATGGGTCGCTGTACGTGATGCAACACTTATAACCACAAGAGACTTGAGACTTGACTTGGATATCATTAAAAATATTTTTGGATGACTCGTAACCGCGGGTGGATCAACCCGCGCATCACTGGTGGGGACATTTCGGTTTTGCCGTTGAGTATAATACTGAGGAGGAAAAATAAACGGTAAACCAAAAAATAGCCTACTCAAACGGAAACCTCAAAATACAGGAATAGATAGCTGACCTAAGTGAAATTGCACTTTACATTCTGAATGAAGGATACTGTACTGGAGTACTGTTAAGTTTAATTAAGATGGTTTATTTATGTTTACTGAAGTGCAAGTATGTTTATTTGAAATGGTCAATTTATGTTTACCAACTTCACATGTATGTTTATTTTCAAAATTGAGGAATTTATGTGTTCCCCAGTTTGTACATGGGCTACCAGCAGCTGTGAAATGTCAGTGTTAATTTTATATTATACAATACACTCGGAACTTTCTTAGCTTTTAAATAAAAGAAAGGAGTAGCCTATTGCAATAAATCATTTTTATTTTTTCTCCTTAACCTCTTGCTGTTCCTATTGGCTAAGCATAGAATAACAAAAAAAAAAACACTCTTATGTGTCAAGCCATCCGAACCGAACCGAAAACCGTGGTTAAAAAAACCGAGGTCTGTATTGAACCGTGGGCTAACTATTGTTGCATCCCTAATTGACACCATTATTTACATTTGACCGGAGCACATGCAACTTTCGCCCGTAAAGGGAATGGGCGTGAAGTTTCCGGACAACGTGCACTACACAGTTTAGCCAATCACAACACACCGGCCCAACTAACCAATCTGAGCCCATTGCCTGTTTCTGAGGGAGTGGTTTCATAGTCAACCGGTCTTTCAAATGACAGGAGAAAGCGGCTTACAATAAAGGTGAAATTTATGAAAAATAAGACTTTAAAAAAGAAAAACCACGAATACATGTTATATTGCACCCCATAAACACAATCATGCAAAGAAAAAAAGCAGTAAACCACCCCTTTAGAGGACCTAACAGTCTTACATACTTTGAGTGCACTTTTCATTAATTCTGTGTGGCAATATCATAAAATTCAATGTAATTTTGGTAATGTTAAATGTGTTCAATTAATAACAATAATGTATGCAATTTTAATGATGCTTATGCCATTGTTCTAGAAAAGAATAAATATTACGAGCAAGAAAAAGGGAAACAATGGCCGTAATCCTCTAAAGGTTTGTTGCATGCTGACATATCTATCATTTGATGAAGATTATTTAGGGGTCTCATGAAAAAGTTTGTGTGGAATTTCTCTAGCTAAAACATTTGGGAAAGACAAAGCCTGTTGATACCTGCTTTAAAATCCATATCTATTTAGAGTGACAATTTATTGCATTGCTTATTATTTACAATTTGATGGTAAACCTTCACTTGTAGACTCATATTAACAGTACTGTTGTGTTGACATTTACTCAGGAAAGGAAGAACGATTTTAGCAAGGATAATGTTAAAGAGCTTCCATCAAAATGCCATATGCAGCAGGTATGTGAATTTTAATGGTACTTGGTGCTTATCAATTCAAATGCCTTTACCTGTATTACGCCTCTGCAGATCGCCGTGGAATCAGTGGCTGATCTTCTACTTCATGAATAATACACCTAAATGAAAGAATAAAAAAAATAAAAGTGCACATTATGAACATTGTGATCAGTGACTTGTGGATCCAAATGAAATGTTGCACAAAATGGCTAATCATTTTATGGAAATCATTTATTTATAAATGCTTTTTGTATTATTGTTCTTCTGAATTTAACAGTGCGACAAGGGGCAAAGCCACAGTTTCAATTTCCGCTACAAATTCAAGAAACATGCGGTGGCGTGTGATACATCATACATCAAGACTGTGATTGATGCTCTTAATACAAACAAGATTTTCCAGAAGATTCAAAAAGAAAACATGGAGAAAGAAATCATCATCAAGAGATCCAAAGGAGAAGTTCCTAGAGCTGCTGTGAAGACCGATTTCCCCTGCTGTCTTATTGAAAAAGATGAGCTCTTAGACATAACCTTCGTCAAAAATACTGGAAATGATACAAAGGAAAAAAAAACTGAAAGGCTTTCATTCTCCAATCAATCAGAAAAATTTGTAATCTTTTACATTAAAACAAAAGGAGGGGTGAAAGTGAGACGCTTAATGAAAAACCATGAGCTGAGGAAGAAAGTTGAGGATGTCTGTGTGTACGCACTCAAAGAAGAGAAACTGAGAAAAGCTCTTCGGCGTGATGGACGCTTCATCAATGTCATATTCAAGGAACAGTATGCACTCAGTGAGTTTGGTAGCGAGACAATCTGTGGAATGTTAGACACTGTAGAGCATCTTGATGGAAAGCATTTTGAGATAATTTTTATCAGTGATGAAAAACAGTCAGACAGCCAAGAAGACTTATCGAGTGATATCAGCACTGAAATGAATGAAGCTCCAGCCGCTGTTTTGAAAGAAAACGTCGATCCTAACCAGCAACCTGTCAACACTGAACAAGAAGAAACTCAAAAGAGAAACGCAATGAAATCCACAAATACTTCAACTAATTTGTTTAAAATAATTCCACACTCGGAAGAGATTCTGGGAATTCTGCGTGCTCAGTTTAAAGATTTACTGGAGACGTTAAAGCAGCGAGAGAACCTTAAGAAAAAGTCTCAGGTCCAGAAGTTCTTCAGAGCAGAATATGATAAAAGTGTTGTGAGTTTCTCTGAGGTGTATAAAATAAAGCAGCTCATGAAACTCTCTGACTCGGTGTGTCAGATTCGAGTGGAGGGATTCGCCAGAGGAACCGGCTTCCTACTCTTTGGGCAATTTATTCTCACTAACGCACATGTTGTTAGGGAATTTCTCGAGTCTCCAGACAAGCTTTCTTCTACAAAGTCTTTAGAAGCTGCATTTGATTTTGAACGTCTGGACTCAAAGGTGAAGCTGGTGCGGGTCAAGAAACAGATTGCTGCTTACTGTTACATTACAGACCCCAACAATAGGCGTCTTGACTTTGCTCTTCTTGAACTGGATGCTGTTGATGAAATCACAGGTCGTCCTGAGTTGCTCAGTCGTTTTAGTGCTGGCCCCCTTCCTAGCCGCGGTGGGATCTGCATTGTGGGACATCCAGAAGGTGGGATTAAGAAAATGGACCCCTGCTTCATCATTGGGAAATATAATCTACGAGAGGCTGCAGATAAACACATATCTGAGAATCGTGATTTCATTAATGTGATTACACAGAGGCGTTTTGATGATCAATGGGGCATTTATGAAAACCAGATGAATTATCATTCTTTTTTCTTTCATGGGTCATCTGGCTCTCCAGTGTTTGATGAACACTGCAAACTGATTGGTGTGCACACTGGTGGATATGTGTACCCAGGAGAAAAAGGTAAAACTAGAAGCATTGCGGAATATGCCTATTCCATGCAGCCCATCCTGGAAATGATCAAAGCACAGGCAAGGATAAGAGGTTCGCGTGATATTGTTAATATCTTAGAAGCCTACAGCGATAAATGCTATGAGTCTGGAACTGCAGATCAAGAGAATCAGACCGACTATGAGATGGAAGATGCTGATTGAAGTCGTCCACACATTTGTGCCGCCATTTCTTTGGGAAAACATGACATCAAGCCTTCAACTGTGAGAGATTCTTCACTGTCATTATGGGGTTTCACGTTTCATATAATTCTTAGCCATTAACGTGTGTTCAAAAGCAGTTACACTTGGTTTCTCTTATTTTTGACAAGTGACAAGTCCTGGATTTCACCTGTGGGTGATTGTGGGTCTGACTCGTGCCAAGCAAGCAGAATCGTAAACATTATTCATTTGGCAGAGACTAAAATTAGAGCTATTTATTTCTTTACATTGTTTTTCATACATGTGTATTCATATCCATACATACTCATTTCACTTATGCAACAATTCATTCACTCATATATCTTTATATGCATTTTTCTTATATTTTAACTTTTTTGTCTTGATATAGTGATATTACATTGATTTATCTGAATGTTTTGTCTTTGTTGTAAGAGATCATGTTTAAGCTTTAACAATAATCCTCTTTGAATCGCACAAATACACCAAATTAATTGATTTGACAATCACTGTAATAAGAGACAACAATACACAATCAAATCCCCACTAAAATAAATACATTTAGAATGATGTCTTTGAGGGTTAAAATCAGGACTCACAAAAAAAACCCAGATCATTGTTCTTCATACCTGCTTGATGAATGTAGATGTCAAGATTTGTTGGCAAGATTTTAGGATCTTCAGTTTGTTGGGTCTGAAATTTGTTTTGAATGTCCTGTAAATAAGAAAACATTGAATCTTTATAAATAATCTTATGTTTAAACACTGAATGAATTGTAAAACAAAACATTTCATTTGTATTACACACAAAATAAATTAAATAAAACATGAAAAGGCTTGATGTTTTCTGTCTTATGTTAATCTATTTCCCAGTAAAAGTTTCGGACATATTGAAAGTTAATTTAAAAAAAGTTAATTCATTCAACTTTAAGGAGTTCCAGGTCTTGCAATTTCATTGGTTTTCCAGCATCTGGAGGTTTTTCCTGAAGACTATTGAGCAGTTTAACTGTTCAGGACAAATGGGGACTTAGAAAATCACAAAATATAAAAACAGTTTTTGATCATCCAGGGAATACTTTGATCTCCCGAGATATGGACAATACAAACATACAGGCATCTGTCTCCACACATAGAGAAGATGTGGAAAAGCTTTTTTCTCTCCTGTCCTTCCTTCACATTTGTTTCTTCTCTCTCTTCCTTCCGTTTACTCAGTTAACTCAGAATGGTTATATGCAAAATGCAATGTACTACGTGAATGCAAGTGATTTTTCACAGTAATGTTTGGCATCATTTTGAACGTCTCTGTAACTGTACAATGGTCTCATGCACAGAGAAATAGACTAATAGTGTGTGTAACTGTACAATGGTCTCATGCGAAATAGACTAATAGTGTGTGTGTGTTACTGTACAATGGTCTCATGCGAAATAGACTAATAGTGTGTGTGTGTTACTGTACAATGGTCTCATGCACAGAGAAATAGACTGTTAACTGGCTGACCCCTCCATGCCCCGAGTCTGGAGCCCCAACACTGCTTGGGTCCCAAGTAATGCCTGGTCAAAGCTGGACAGGAAGTGGCTGTATCTCGGAGCCGTACGGTCACAGGGGCTCGGGACTCTGGGGAAAATAGGGTCTTCGAAACTTCTCCATGCCCGGAGTCTCGAGCCTTAACTTGGCTTGGCCCCCGAGTCCCGAGTTATACCTGGTTATACATAAGGGACTTTAGGACAAAACAGGCTCTATGTCCTTTGAATTAATGTGTATAATATGTAGGCCTATCTAAATATAGTTGTAAATTAAGGTAGTTGAAACACATAATGTGGGCTTAAATGGTTCCACAGTGAGTAATGGTGAAAAAAGACTATGATTTCTTTAAAAATGTAAGATATGTTTACATGCATAGATCTTAAATATAATGTGGACTAAGCATCATAGTAATTTTTATTGTGCCCTCATTGAGAAATGTTAAGTTTTTTTAATTCATGGTTAGCTTGTTTTAGCTATAGTTCTCATCCGTTTTGTGGTGCTGTACCAAAAAAAACTAAAGTTTTTACAGCTGTACTGTAAAAAAAATATATATATAAAAATAATTTTCTTTACAAAACAATTTATAATGTAGCCTATTTATTTGTAAATTAATGTAAAATGTTTAGTTCACATGCTTAATTCTTTGGCATCTATCTTTCAGTAAGGTTAATAGTTTGACCTTGAGATTAGTTTTGAGCACAAGCAAATAAAACTCATCTTTCCATTTAAAGGAAAATTATAAAATCATATATTATTATTTGTTTATACATAAAAAACAATACATGTATCTCTTATTTGACATAATATTAATGTACTTACCAAAGAAATGGCTGAAAAGGCAGATATATAGCCTACTTCAAAAAGCCTTTTAAAGGTATGAATTAAACGTGGCACAATGGCCTTCATCATCACAGTATGCTAATGCCTATCTAGTGCAAGGGTTTCATCAATATGCGGATTGAGGACTGTTGGGTCACTCCAGGCACAGGATGGATAGGAGAAAGGCTTTAACCCTTCCACTCCCGCACACCGGTGCGTAACCTCATACTACAAGAAAGGCTTTTACGGCCTCTTCTGCACAAGTGTATTATTAGTTACAACTAAGTTTTCTATATGTTGTTCCATTCTACTGTCTGTATATTTAAACATGTAACTTAATAAATAACTTTTCCTGCTTTAAAGGCTTTGAGAATCTTTCCTTTTATCACTGATTATGTTGAAAGCTAAAGTGATTATAACTTTCGTTATCTAAACGTTCAGGTTAAATCCTACGTTTTCCTATCAGTTCTAAGAAAGTCCTTTATCTTTAAAGAATAAGAGGTTAAAGAATAACAACAACTTTAATGGAGTCAGATTAATATATTGGAGATAAATATTTGAATTATACACGTCATCCTTCAACTGGCTTTTGTTCCGATTATTGGTTCAAAATAGCAAAAAAGCTAAAGCTCCCTTGAAGATCACACTTTAAAGTTACAGAAGAAAATATGAAAAAAATGTCTCATTTTGGTTATTCAAATCTCATTGATCAAAAAGTGAATGCATATAACATGAATGCTGTTTTACTTTTTCAACTATGTTCTATTTAGTATAAACGTCTCTGAAGTCATATCAAATTACTGGTCAGAGCTATACTGAAATTTTGAAAGACAATTTGTGCTTTTCTTGGATGACACATCTGTATAGCAGCGGTTTTATTTTCTTTCTTTTATTTGTTGTTTGTTTGAATTTCCTCAATACCTCAAATATTCCTGAGATTTTAATTACCTTTCTGTATAATTGTGTATTACTGAATGAAAAAAAAACTTCTTGATATTCTAATGCTGCTCAAAGGCAGATTTCATTATTTTTTAAAGAACATTTAAAATGGCAATCTATGGTTTCATCATGCAGCTCCACCATGATTTTGAGTTTGAGCTAAAAAGCATAGAGTTTTTTAATGCCATTTTTGTTTTTGTGCCGTCTCTGAGATTCAAAGAAATTTCAATACAACACTGTAACAAAGTCCCTTTACCACCACATGACTCTAAAATAAGATATGAAGCAATGGTATTTATCTAATTTATTTTTTAGTCAACTGGATGAGTTTCTACATGATGTTCTATTATGAGCAGAACAAAACATAACAATTCATAAAATTACAGTGGGCTGTATTTGTTTTTGCCATGATGCCAGTGGTTTCTTTGTAAATCACAGCATAATGAGCGTAGGATATGTGAAGCATTTTGAGTTAAATACAAATAAAATCGCTCTAATTCTGCTGGATACCAGATATATAGAATTTGACAAATTAGCAAAATATAGCATTGGGAAATAATTATAAAATAGAGATTCCTTTTGGAAAAATGAAGGTAAATCACTAATTAAAAGCAACTTCCACAAACACTGGCAAAAATAGTCGGGGCATATAGAATAAACAACAGCCTATATTTAAAAAATCTATTCAAACTAAAACCTTTATAAGTAGAAACAGAAGATTATTTCTACGTGAATCTGGTCTAGAGATCAATGAAGCCATGATTTTACCAAAAACTGTACTTTGATTTGATCACTCACTCCAATACAGTAGGTGGCGGTATGCAGCTTTTACAATGGTCGCCAAAACACTAGAAGAAGAATTTGAGATCTTTTACGCGCTGCATGAGTTCAGCTGTTCACACACACGAAGGAAACCAGACGAGGACACGCACTTCTTTCTCCTGCTTTATTTGAACTGTTAACTCAAGGTAACTTTTTAAAACAAAATATCATATTCAACAAAATAAAATATTAGGCTACCCTAGATATTTACAACAACTTTTAATTAATATATTTCTAGCATGAATATTTTATCGAATGATTTTCGTTACATCAATAACGAAATCATTACAAATAACTATAATTGTATATTTTCACTGGTTACAAACAAATGCTGTAAAGGATGCGCTTGTGACTTATTTGTGAAAGAATGTACAATTCAAAATGCTTGTAACGTTATTTAAGAACATCAAAGGCTCTAAAACGCAATGCTATCGAAGGTGTTTGGGTTAATTTAACGTTAGTGTTGTTTCGTTCGTGAACGAATAGTGTCGAATCACTGTCATGATCGACTCCGTTGTGACACAAAAGAAGATATTTTGAAGAATGTTGGTTGTACGAGCGTATGGAACGCTCAGAGGATTCGGTTAAGCACTAGTAGAAATAGTGATGGGAGTTTCCGGTTAGAGAAACTGGAGCAAGAGAGAGAGTGTCCCAGTAGAAGGCTTTTATTCGGATTATTTCTGCATGTATGAAGTATTACAGGCATTAACCCATAGGTATGTGTGATCTACAATGAACAGAGAAAACAGAATACAATATAAATTGACTAGTATAAACAGAATACAGGTAGCACAAATTATTTAGCTTACATATCTGAATTATACTGCAGAACATAAACAACTGAACAGTATCAAACTGATTTCCATTAGACTTTACATGGATTTAGTAGCATACAATTCACACGGAAATATAATTATTCAAATTATTCAAAGCTCTTTCCCGTTTTAGATGTGTTTTGTGTGTTTTTCACGGCATTCACGCTGAAAACAAATGCTGCCTCAGTCTTTTTGTAGTACCCCAGAGTGCAGCACCTGTAGGCCTACTTCAGTGAGATGTTTTACATAGCGCGTCATTCACTTGGCTTCTTTATACTTCTATCAGGATCGGTGGATCAGCACAAACTCGGGATTTTACGCAAAGGATGATAATTCACTGTAAGAATGTAGCCTAATAGCAGCTGATTTTAATTTTTAAAGCACGACCGTTTTTGTTTCATTTTTTAACGAGATGTTGTCCAATGCGTGC